GAGTGGTTTCTTGGCCCGATAGCTTGTGTCCGACACCCGGCCGATTCAACATGTTGAATCGGCCGGGTGTCGACCGTGAAAGGCCAAATAAGGCGTGACACGGCCGAGGGTTCGGGGACACCAAATTGACTTTGGGCGACAAGGAACCCGTTGTCGCCAAACAACGCAAGACGGCCGATATCGGCCTGGTGTGTAGGGGCCTTAACACCAGAGGTGGGAGGAGCACTCAAATATTGTACTTGAGTAAAAGTAGAAGTACTCAGATCTTGTACTTGAGTAAAAGTAGAAGTACTCAGATCTTGTACTTGAATAAAAGTAGAAGTACCAGAGTGTAGGAATACTCTGTTTTAAGTAAAAGTCCTGCATTCAAAATGTTACTCAAGTAAAGTACAAGTATCTCAACATTGTACTTAAGTACAGTACTTGATTAAATGTACTTAGTTACTTCCCACCTCTGTCTAACACTAGTTGGGCTACGATGTCAGCACTGGTGGATAAAACAAATGTTTTGTTAGTGCACCATCGAGAACAACATGTCTAATCGCCAACGTATGAAACACTGATGCTTGGTAACTCCTTAAAGTCTGCATGAGAGGCACCAAGCTTTGAAATAACTCAACTTTAAACCCAAATGACATAACCTTTGTACGTAACTAATGCCAGTTATTTCACGTAAACAAACGTACTTATTTGAACCAAACCCACAATGTTTTACTAGCTTAACCAGGTATTAATTGCGTAAGTAAACCAATGTTAGAACTTTATTTAGAAAGAGTCTCAAGCGGAAACTGAAGCCATCCATGACACGTGTTAAACTGACGCTCGAGGGTCTCTTGACCGTCCAATTTTAAAGTGTAGGGCCACTGATCAAGAAATCGGAGTTCGACGAGTTGGGAAAAAGAACATGTTGGCAAGACTTACAATCAGAACATTAGACCCAGAACTGATTCAGTATTCTTCTTATGTCAGTAAAAGGAGACATTTCTCTTTCATTTGATGATAAAAGCTAAAATACACTTGGTGCGATTAACCTACATTTGGAGCACAGGAGCTGAACTGGATCTAATATGTTGTTCAGTATTATTTATCAGTGTTGTAGCCTGTGTTATGGCACTTTTAAATGGTAAAGAGTCTAAAGGCTGTGTGTCTTCAACAGCTGAGCCACCTTTTATTATTTTAACAGATTTTCTTCAATAGACATGAAAGCAAACGTCTAAAAAACACAGCAACAAAGCAGACCAAAATCCACTTAGTAAATAACCAAATGGAGCCATTTCCTTTTGGCTTTCACAGCGTACACACACACACTGAGTAACTGGGTCTTCAGAGGAAACACACGTAACCTCCTTTTGAGGTGAAAGCAGTGTGACAGTGCAGTGCATCATGGGAGCCAGCAGGCATGAAAGAGGTGAAGAGAAGAGAAGAAGAGAGCCACTCAGACCTCCTTCAAACAAACCTCTGCGTCTGATAACGACAGACAAGAGTTCTCATAAACGCAGAGGCGGACAGGATATGATATCTTTTATTCAACGTTATCAGCGTGCTTCACGATCAAAAACAGGATGATTGGAGGATTAATGGTTGGCGTCAGATAACAAATGCTGTCCCCGGCTTCCTGGTGTGCAGAAGATGGATCATCTGATACTCTTTATTACACGTCTGCCACCAGATGTTAATGGACGTTTTTTAATATCTACGTCAGTATGCATCTGTAACGTCACTGTACTGTTGATTAAAAGGATTGTTGTTGACCAGAAGAATCACCATCTTCAGTTTCAAAATGGATGGTAAATCATAAATGTTCATCATGTTTTAGTATAGTTTTGTAAAGCACTAGATATGGACTCTTGTTTTGTTCGGTCAGGTTGAGCTGCAACCTGTGTACGAAAACTGCTTTACGTATAAAGTCTATTATTTATTGTTGTACTAATTACCGAAAGCATGGATTTCATTCACAGTTCTCACACCTCACAGTGCTTTTTGGATTCCTCCGGACTTAAACAATGTACGTTTTTTTACACACATATTTGAACAAAAACTATAAAACACAACCTGTCTTTCTTTTTCCACATTTCTTCCGTTTCTCATTTGTGATTATTTTGACTGATATTGCAAGTACAATATTGGAGGGGTTGATTATTTTTGCGTCATTATTCTATTGTTATGTATGTAAGGTCTATAGAATAAGATGTGTAGTATCTCTACAGTACTACAATGCTCCATTTAAAATGGTATTTCAACACTTATTTAGCCTATACAGCTTCAATACCAAAATTGTATTTCCTTCGATAAGAATATTGCACTAGTCCATATTGTGATTTGATTACATTTGGATTCATTTTGCAGCCCTACTCCTGTTGTTTTCTTCTTTCCTCTCCATCTTTCTGAAACATATACTCTAATATTCCACCTTGTCCTCAACCCAGTGATGCTGAAAACTGAATCAAACTAACAAGATGGGAGGAAGGGGACCCGGAGGACAGAGAAACACCGGAGAGGGAGCCGTTCAGATTCAAGCGACCACATAAAAGACTCTGAAACTCCTGCCAGAAGCCTTTGATATGCAAAGAGACAATCTCTGCAATGACTGTCCTGACAGCCTTTCATTGAGCCTGAGACAAAGAAGTAGCACTCGTCAGAAAGAAGAAAACATTCCTCTGATTCTGAACACACGGTTACATCAGTGTTTGAGCTGTTGACAGACGGGGAGCTGCGTATCCTATCCTCATATTCAGTAAACACAGGAGGTTACGCAGAGTTCACTGTGACAGCATGGCTGCAGGAAACAAGAAGTCTGTGGCTCTGGACATTTGTCACATATTGAAATCTGAGAGAGATTTCACAGTGTGCATATGATTTAATCTGAAGAAATGTAAACGTTTTGTACTGCGAAAAAAAAAAAAGATGTCAGTAAATACACCACTGGTGAATTTAAAATGTCTAAATGAGGCGACTAAACGTCATCACACCCAATATTAGCCACCTTTAGCTTAGCGGTGGTGACGTGAAGTCATGTGACCGTGCTGTAGTTCCTTTATAGCCCAACATTAGCCTCCTTTAGCTTAGCGGTGGTGAAGTGAAGTCAAGTGACCGTGCTGTAGTTCCTTTATAGCCCAACATTAGCCGCCTTTAGCTTAGCGGTGGTGACGTGAAGTCATGTGACCATGCTGTAGTTCCTTTATAGCCCAACATTAGCCTCCTTTAGCTTAGCGGTGGTGAAGTGAAGTCAAGTGACCATGCTGTAGTTCCTTTATAGCCCAACATTAGCCACCTTTAGCTTAGCGGTGGTGACGTGAAGTCAAGTGACCGTGCTGTAGTTCCTTTATAGCCCAACATTAGCCGCCTTTAGCTTAGCGGTGACACGTTAAGTCATGTGACCGTGATGTAGTTCCTTTATAGCCCAACATTAGCCGCCTTTAGCTTAGCGGTGACACGTGAAGTCATGTGACCGTGCTGTAGTTATTTTATAGCCCAACATTAGCCGCCTTTAGCTTAGCGGTGACACGTGAAGTCATGTGACCGTGCTGTAGTTCCTTTATAGCCCAACATTAGCCGCCTTTAGCTTAGCGGTGACACGTGAAGTCATGTGACCGTGCTGTAGTTCCTTTATAGCCCAACATTAGCCACCTTTAGCTTAGCGGTGACACGTGAAGTCATGTGACCGTGCTGTAGTTCTTTTATAGCCCAACATTAGCCGCCTTTAGCTTAGCGGTGACACGTGAAGTCATGTGACCGTGCTGTAGTTCCTTTATAGCCCAACATTAGCCACCTTTAGCTTAGCGGTGACACGTTAAGTCATGTGACCGTGCTGTAGTTCCTTTATAGCCCAACATTAGCCTCCTTTAGCTTAGCATTTTTCAGCTTGAAAAACATCCCATTGGATCTTTGTGGAGGGAATCAGGGAGATGCTAACCTCCGGGTAGCCCTATAAATGCACAACATCACTGCACCACTCTATAATGAAAATTGTCCATTCAAGATTGATCAAGGTGACGTCTTTAATTGTCCTTATTTGGTAGTCCAAAACCCAAAGATATAAAATAAAATCAACCCTGCCTCCAAAATCAACCATAGAAAAGAAAACAACATGAAGTCTGTGGGGGTGGATTTTTTGCAGCAGGAACGCAGACAAATGAAAAGGGGAGGGAGAGGATGTTAGTATGTGTCACACACAATCAGAAGCTCGTCATCCTTCACCAACAGGCAGGCGATGTGAAGCTCACACACAATCTCTCCACAGGAAGCTCATTCCCAGGAAAACAGAAGAAGACAAAACAACCGACACGCAGGTAACTGAGAAGAAGAAGACACGTCCATCTTGAGAAAGCACCTCATCCTGCAGTGAGGATTAAAATGTGTCCCTTTAACTTGTTTTGGGTAAAGACAATTGGTTGGACAAACAATTGTGATTTCAACACCATATGTGACTCGCTCTATCAGTGGGATATCGTTTTGAGATAAACGTTCATTTAAAAAACTCCTGTCATGGTCATTCTGGGGTTTTTAGTTGCCTTTGAACTAAGTCTTGGCTTTCAGTAAATGAAGCTCTTCTGGCCAGACGATATTCTAACAAGCTTTAGGATATTCTAACGGAGATTTCACACAAAGGACACAAATCATAGCGAACGGTATGGCAGTGTTTAAAGACTGGTTAATGGAAGAGACAATGTAAACGGACCTGGAGAGTTACAGAAAACATTGATCAGTGCTGGCGTCAAATCAAGTTACGTCGCTTTTGACGCGGTTATAGACATTGGTACTATTTCTATCTATACCAATACGATCCTTTTTGAATTAACACAATTGTTGAGAGGGATCCTACACACTCAGTTTGACTGATTTTGAAAGAGGAAGTCACATATTTCTTGCTACACAATGCAGTTTTTTAACTCCCACGGTGAAATTTGAATGCCGGTTTAATCCTCAGTTGCAGAACAAGTTTCCCCTCAAGATGAACGTTTTTTTTGTGATTAGGAGCATTACATAACGGCGCCACTTACGTTCTGCTTCCCCACGATGTTGTCGAAGGGCAGCTCGGGGCTCCAGGACGCCTCGTTGAAGGTGGTGCTGCTGGCCCTGCGGTCCGAGGAGCTCGACGCCTCCTTCATGATGTCCTCTGGCAGGCTGAGCGTGCTCTCCTCCGGCTGCTTGATGAGGAACGTCTCGATGTTGTGGCGGCGCAGGAAAGTCGTTGCGGTCCTTCCCGTGGCCCTCCTCCACCTCGTAGTCTCCGTTCAGACAGTCCAGAGCCGCTTTGGAGATGTGGATCCTCCTGGAGAGATGACGGGAAAAAACAATAGTCCGATTTTGAGGAAAAGTGACAGAATTTTGAGTAAAAAAATATCACATTTTGAGAAATTTTTTTCCAAATTGAGGAAAATGTCAGAATTCTCAGAAAGAAATCTGAATTTAGGGTTTCCCAAAAAAAGTCAGAGTATTGAGATTTTCAGAAAAAGTGCATTATTTAAGGACAATTCTCAGATATTCAGAAAAAATACATAAGTTTTAGGTTGTCTGAAGAAAGTCTTACATTTGAGAAAAAGGCTGAATTTTGAGGGAAAACATTTGAATTTTGAGGGAAAAAAATCTGAATTTTGAGGGAAAATTACAAAATGTTGAGATTTTCATAAAGAAGTAAGAATAATAACATTTTCAGAAAAAGGGCAAAATAAAACATTTTATTCTGAGTTTTTTTGAAAAAAAGTCAGAATTTTGAGATTAATTTGAGCATATGGAAAACATCCTGCTTTAAAGGTGGAGTAAGTGCTTTTTGGACACTAGGGGGCAGCAGAAAAACTCCTTAAAACCGTTGACACATTCAACACACACATAGCAACATTAGCATCTCAATAGAGTATTATTATTTGGGGAAAACAACAATCAGATTTTGAGAAAAAGTGACAGAATTCTTAGATGTTCAGAAAAAAAAGAAGTACGTTTTAGGTTGTCGGAAGAAAGTCTTACATTTGAAAAGTCCGAATTCTCAGATTTTCCGAAAAAATTCACAATTTTGAGAAAAAGGCAGAATTCAAGAAAAATTCAGAATTCTGAGATTAACGGAGCGTCCACACAGCAGCGTTAAAAAAATCTTCTAACGCTTCTGCCCATTCACTTTGAATGGGGTGACGTCACTTTGCCTCACTTTTCGCCGAACTGCATTGTGGGAAGCAGAGCGGAGATTTTCAGGATTTTCAGGATTCAAAGTTGAGCAATGTTCAACTTTTGAAGCTGAGGTGGAAGCGTCAGCCAATCAAATCCCGTTTATGCAAATCTGACAGTTCAAGCGCTAGCCAATCAAACCGCGTGTATGCTGGGAGAGACATACCGCAGGTCATTTCCTCATATTCCAAAACATGGAGGAGAAATTAGCGGTAGGGAATCACCCGGTGCTTTATGACCAGTCCCTATTTACCTACCGGGATACAAACCGGAGGAGCCAGGCATGGAGGGAGGTGGCAGAGACAGTGGTAGGTCTTCGCCTGTTTGGGGAGTTTATATCCAGTTTACTTTACAGGCTTTTTTGCTTCGTATGTCGGGGGCGGGAGATTCATGTGATTGGTTGTTGGTCGCGTTGCTCGCAAAAAATCCCCAAGCTTCAGATACGCCCACCTCCAAGATTTTTTTAACGCTGCTGTGGTGTGCTGTGTGGACGCTCCGTCAGAAAAAAAAATCTAAATTGTCAGAAAAAAATCTGAATACTTTGATTTTTTGAGAAAAAAAAAAAAAATTCGTTGTAGAGTGTGTTATGAGTTGGATGAAACCAAAACATCATCCGACATTCAGATATCTTCTGTCCGTGCTTCATCCTCCTTGTTATATAACAGAGTTCAGAGACCACAGGTCAGGCTCTACAGCAGCTGCTGGCAGGACCTTTAAATCCTGCAGAGAAATAATCTCCCTCTGTTTCCGCGCCAAACATCAGGGGGAAAACACATTTGGCCGAGAGACACTTTGGTTTAAAGTAAACATCAACAAACACATTTAAGTTCTCTTCAACCTCTATTGAAATGATCGTACTAAATTGTACCGTTGTGTCTCTAAAGAAAACAATCAAGTAAAAGGTAAATTACTGTCAAAGAACTGATTCCAAAATACTGCTGCTGGTTTATAAAGCATTGAATGGTTAGGCCCTAAAAACATTTCTGACCTCCTGCTACATTATGAACCATCCCAGATCTCTCAGGTCTTCTGGTCTGCTTTCTGTCCCCAGAGTCAGAACTAAACATGGAGAAGTTCAGTTATTATGCTCCAAACATCTGGAACAAACTCCCAGAAACCTGCTGGTCCGCTGCAACGAAGACTACTTTTAAATCCAGGCTGAAGACTTTTCTATTTGCCGCTGCTTTTAATTGAACTATTCACATCTCACACTGCACTGTAACTTTTATTCATGTACCTGTGTTATTCATATTTTATTATCTTTGAATTGCCTTGAGTTGAAAGGTGCTATATAAATAAACTTGCCTTGCCTTGCCTTTAGAATAACCCCTGAACCTGTTGTGTTTACTGACCCAGGGATTCCTCCAGACTCCAGCTTGTTGGCGATGTCTACGTCCCAGGACCAGACGTCAAACTGCCACTTCCTGAGGCCCAGCACGCCGCACAGCACCGAGCCCGAGTGGATCCCGATCCGCATGTCGATGTCGTGTTTCGTACGAGACCTCACATATCTGGGGGCGAAACAATGGAGATATGTTTAGATTTTAATCGTGATTTATTCTGAGCGAGAAATCTCCACTTCAGTAGCGACAAGCTCTCCAGTTTCCAGAAGCTTTATTCATGTATCAATCAAAGACACATTCATAGGAACCTTTATTCCTAAAAACACTTTATTCATAGCTGTTGAAAGTATTTTGTAAGTCAAGTTTTTCAAACAGAATTTTTGTTCTGGATATGTATTCACATATTTATGAATATAACACCTATTATTAATACATATTAAAACATGTAGTTAATCAACTGGGAACGTTTTATTTAGATATTAATTAGTTAAATATTGTTGGATTTATGGATTGCAAAAAATAAAGCATTTTAAGCTTTTATAATTTATATTTTAATACATTTTAAATAAATAGGATAAAAAAACCACTCATCATTAATCAAGGGCAGTTTGAGACTTGGTGCCTTGCTCATGGACACACGGGAAGGCAGACTGAACCACTAACCCTCTCTACAGCTTCACTATGATGGATAATTAATAATAAATGATAAAATATGCGAAAAAAAACTTAAAATAGAACCCTAATCATATCATGTAACTCAAATGAATCTTTAAACTGTTAAAATTGCACATTTAATAATAAACATGTATATTTAAGTAGAATATAAAACATGTATATATTGATTAAACTATGCCAGGGGTAACTCAGGGTCACTGTGAGTGTGTGTGCATTAAATCAGAATGTAAATACACATGAGTTTGACCTCTGGCGAAAAACACAACGCAGATATTGTTTGTTAATTCAGCGAGAAACGAGCACACAAAATATTTCACGACCTTCAGACTCTCGTTAATCAGTTTCTCATTTCATCCGTTATTGTTCCTGAAAGTAATGAAGAGCAGAAGCTGATAAACGTGTGTGAAGAACAAACATGGCCGACTCATTTCATGCTTCATAACAGCGCTGATGAGTGTGAGGTGAAAGGCATGCTGGGAGATTGTGACAGGTAATGAGCTGTGAATGAAGTCAAACTGCAGTTAGTCATGAAGATTAATTTATATAATTTAGATTAAAAAGTCTCAGATCAGGGAAATAGGCAGAATTTAAGAAAAATATAAGAATTCTGAGATTTTGAGAAAAAAGTTAGAATTTTGAGAAAAAGGCGGAATTCTGAGATTTTCAGGAAAGAATCATAATTTTGAGAAAAATGCAGTATTCTGAGATTCTCAGAAAAAAAGGCATTATTAAAGAAAAATTATGAATTCATGGTTTCCAGAAAAAAGTAAGAATGTTTTGATTTTCAGAAAAAATAACGTTAAATTCTGACTTTTTCAGAAAATCTCAGAATTAAAATTAATCAGAATTCTCAGAAGAAAATCTGAATTTTGAGATTTTCTGAAAAAAGTCTTACTGTAGATTTGAGAAAAAGGCAGAATTATGGGATTTTGAGAAAACATTTCAAATTTTCAGGAAAAATGACATCATTTTCAGGAAAAATGACATCATTTTCAGGAAAAATGAAAGAATTCTCAGATTTTCAGAAAAAAATCTGAATTTTAAGACAAAATGCATAAATCTGAGATTTAGAAAAAAAATCACAATTCTCATAAAAAAAATCTGAATTTAGGGTTTCCAGAATTTTGAGATTTTGAGAAAAAGTTAGAATATCAGAAAGAGACAGAATTCTCAGATTTTCAGAAAAATATATAAATGTAAGGTTTCCATAAAAAAGTCAGATATTGATTGATTGATTTGTCGAGGGAAGTTTGTCAAAGAGGTCAACAAGACAGTCACTTCACTATGACATGTAGTGGTGTATTAATACACTATTAAAGCTGAAATGCACAGTTTAAAATGCTGCTTGAGGTAAGTCAATCAAAAAGGCGTTTAATTGTGTAAAAGGAGATTTAATCTTGCGAATGAAAGCTTTATATCCATATGACTGAAAACAAACAATACGGAGTCTCACCTGCTCTGCACTCACATCTGACCTCACACAGTATTTCATGTTAATATGCATGTGTGGTGAGGATAAATAAGGCACTACACTCATAATTACCCCACCTCTTGTGAACATCATCAAAAGAATAGTAAATGGGAGTAAATTAACCTGCATTTACAAACACAAGGGCGATATGAATTATGAAATGCTGCCATGCAATATTCAGAGCGCCTGTCTGCCTCAGTCTGACACCACAGAGTCTGCTGGAGCAGAAAAAGCCCCGGAGCCAAAACCAACATGTTCGCAGGTTTCTGAGGCGTGTTGACTTCACTGCGTGGTGACAGCCGACACTGATACGCGTGATACGGACAGGAAGTCACTGATGGGTTATGGGTAAATAATCTCAAGAAGGGAGATGCTAACAGAGGGAAATGACCCGGAAGCAACAATAGGAGTCTTCTTAGATGCTCCTATGCTTCCTTTATTATCTCCTTTATGTATGGAGTGTCTCTACTTTAAAGAGTCCTCTCCTGCTGATGTTCAGGTGTATATCAGTATGGAGTGTCTCTACTTTAAAGAGTCCTCTCCTGCTGATGTTCAGGTGTATATCAGTATGGAGTGTCTCTACTTTAAAGAGTACTCTCCTGCTGATGTTCAGGTGTATATCAGTATGTAGTGTCTCTACTTTAAAGAGTCCTCTCCTGCTGATGTTCAGGTGTATATCAGTATGTAGTGTCTCTACTTTAAAGAGTCCTCTCCTGCTGATGTTCAGGTGTATATCAGTATGTAGTGTCTCTACTTTAAAGAGTCCTCTCCTGCTGATGATCAGGTGTATATCAGTATGTAGTGTCTCTACTTTAAAGAGTCCTCTCCTGCTGATGTTCAGGTGTATATCAGTATGTAGTGTCTCTACTTTAAAGAGTCCTCTCCTGCTGATGTTCAGGTGTATATCAGTATGTAGTGTCTCTACTTTAAAGAGTCCTCTCCTGCTGATGTTCAGGTGTATATCAGTATGTAGTGTCTCTTCTTTAAAGAGTCCTCTCCTGCTGATGATCAGGTGTATATCAGTATGTAGTGTCTCTACTTTAAAGAGTCCTCTCCTGCTGATGTTCAGGTGTATATCAGTATGGAGTGTCTCTACTTTAAAGAGTCCTCTCCTGCTGATGTTCAGGTGTATATCAGTATGGAGTGTCTCTACTTTAAAGAGTACTCTCCTGCTGATGTTCAGGTGTATATCAGTATGTAGTGTCTCTACTTTAAAGAGTCCTCTCCTGCTGATGTTCAGGTGTATATCAGTATGTAGTGTCTCTACTTTAAAGAGTCCTCTCCTGCTGATGTTCAGGTGTATATCAGTATGTAGTGTCTCTACTTTAAAGAGTCCTCTCCTGCTGATGATCAGGTGTATATCAGTATGTAGTGTCTCTACTTTAAAGAGTCCTCTCCTGCTGATGTTCAGGTGTATATCAGTATGTAGTGTCTCTACTTTAAAGAGTCCTCTCCTGCTGATGTTCAGGTGTATATCAGTATGTAGTGTCTCTACTTTAAAGAGTCCTCTCCTGCTGATGTTCAGGTGTATATCAGTATGTAGTGTCTCTTCTTTAAAGAGTCCTCTCCTGCTGATGATCAGGTGTATATCAGTATGTAGTGTCTCTACTTTAAAGAGTCCTCTCCTGCTGATATTCAGTTTTATTTATTCAAACATTTTAGTGCAATCTGTTGCAACTTCTATTATGATGTTTTTATGTATGTTTCTATGGCTACCAGTGCCTTTATTGAAGTGACAGAGTTGACACGGCAAAAAAGTCCCAGGCCAGATTCGAAGCTGGGTATCTACGAAGTATTATCCTGTCTTTTTAATTAAAATGTCCGCACATATATGGAAGAAGGCTGCAGCACAAAGTGGTCTTCTGTAAGCCGCTCAGCATATTGACTTAGACTGAATACAGTGCAGATCTGACAGCTTACCCTCCACTAATCCCTCCTTCCTCCAAACATCACACTCCTCCTCTGTCACGCTCAGGCAGCGCGGACAACATGCCACAAAGAGGAAAATAAAATGAGATGTCCTCGGGGTCTGAACGCCGGGTCAGTGAGAGTGTGTGTGTGTGTGTGTGTGTGTGTGTGTGTGTGTGTGTGTGTGTGTGTGTGTGTGTGTGTGTGTGTGTGTGTGTGTGTGTGTGTGTGACAACTTTATTCCTGCTGCACACCCTTCTCTCTCACATGGAGATTACACACTCAGTTATGTGTCATGATCCGTGAGCTTATGAAAATCCCTCTTGTGTTATTTTTCTAAAATATGATGCCATCACTGAATACATTTCCTGTGCGGTGTCAGTGATGCATGGGATGTGTGATATAACCTTGTGATTTGATGTATTATTTGTTAGTGATATTCTGCAGAAACACAGCCAGAGGCATATCTAAGATGATGCAAAAACATTGCAGAGGAGCTGCTGTCACATCACAGACCTGCTGCAGCGAGAAATGAGATAACGCTCAGATATCAGACTGCTGTCCGACTCCTCCGGGGAAATACGCTTTTAATACAATTCTTTCAGACTTGCAGTGAAAGAGAACAGGTGTCCTTATTTTGTGATTCAAGGATATTACAGAAAATGCATGCAGTAGTTCAATAATGCTGTATCTATGATAGCAATTATATAATGTATATATCACACATATTTATTAGATTTACTGTGATTTGTGTTCATGTAGCACATTGTGGAGAACGACTGCCTTTTTCTCATGTTCAGGTGTATATCAGTATGTAGTGTCTCTACTTTAAAGAGTCCTCTCCTGCTGATGTTCAGGTGTATATCAGTATGTAGTGTCTCTACTTTAAAGAGTCATCTCCTGCTGATGTTCAGGTGTATATCAGTATGTAGTGTCTCTACTTTAAAGAGTCCTCTCCTGCTGATGTTCAGGTGTATATCAGTATGTAGTGTCTCTACTTTAAAGAGTCATCTCCTGCTGATGTTCAGGTGTATATCAGTATGTAGTGTCTCTACTTTAAAGAGTCCTCTCCTGCTGATGTTCAGGTGTATATCAGTATGTAGTGTCTCTACTTTAAAGAGTCCTCTCCTGCTGATGTTCAGGTGTATATCAGTATGTAGTGTCTCTACTTTAAAGAGTCCTCTCCTGCTGATGTTCAGGTGTATATCAGTATGTAGTGTCTCTACTTTAAAGAGTCCTCTCCTGCTGATGTTCAGGTGTATATCAGTATGTAGTGTCTCTACTTTAAAGAGTCCTCTCCTGCTGATGTTCAGGTGTATATCAGTATGTAGTGTCTCTACTTTAAAGAGTCCTCTCCTGCTGATGTTCAGGTGTATATCAGTATGTAGTGTCTCTACTTTAAAGAGTCCTCTCCTGCTGATGTTCAGGTGTATATCAGTATGTAGTGTCTCTACTTTAAAGAGTCTTCTCCTGCTGATGTTCAGGTGTATATCAGTATGTAGTGTCTCTACTTTAAAGAGTCCTCTCCTGCTGATGTTCAGGTGTATATCAGTATGTAGTGTCTCTACTTTAAAGAGTCCTCTCCTGCTGATGTTCAGGTGTATATCAGTATGTAGTGTCTCTACTTTAAAGAGTCCTCTCCTGCTGATGTTCAGGTGTATATCAGTATGTAGTGTCTCTACTTTAAAGAGTCCTCTCCTGCTGATGTTCAGGTGTATATCAGTATGTAGTGTCTCTACTTTAAAGAGTCCTCTCCTGCTGATGTTCAGGTGTATATCAGTATGTAGTGTCTCTACTTTAAAGAGTCCTCTCCTGCTGATGTTCAGGTGTATATCAGTATGTAGTGTCTCTACTTTAAAGAGTCCTCTCCTGCTGATGTTCAGGTGTATATCAGTATGTAGTGTCTCTACTTTAAAGAGTCCTCTCCTGCTGATGTTCAGGTGTATATCAGTATGTAGTGTCTCTACTTTAAAGAGTCCTCTCCTGCTGATGTTCAGGTGTATATCAGTATGTAGTGTCTCTACTTTAAAGAGTCCTCTCCTGCTGATGTTCAGGTGTATATCAGTATGTAGTGTCTCTACTTTAAAGAGTCCTCTCCTGCTGATGTTCAGGTGTATATCAGTATGTAGTGTCTCTACTTTAAAGAGTCCTCTCCTGCTGATGTTCAGGTGTATATCAGTATGTAGTGTCTCTACTTTAAAGAGTCCTCTCCTGCTGATGTTCAGGTGTATATCAGTATGTAGTGTCTCTACTTTAAAGAGTCCTCTCCTGCTGATGTTCAGGTGTATATCAGTATGTAGTGTCTCTACTTTAAAGAGTCCTCTCCTGCTGATGTTCAGGTGTATATCAGTATGTAGTGTCTCTACTTTAAAGAGTCCTCTCCTGCTGATGTTCAGGTGTATATCAGTCTGTAGTGTCTCTACTTTAAAGAGTCCTCTCCTGCTGATGTTCAGGTGTATATCAGTATGTAGTGTCTCTACTTTAAAGAGTCCTCTCCTACTGATGTTCAGGTGTATATCAGTATGTAGTGTCTCTACTTTAAAGAGTCCTCTCCTGTTGATGTTCAGGTGTATATCAGTATGTAGTGTCTCTACTTTAAAGAGTCCTCTCCTACTGATGTTCAGGGGTATATCAGTATGTAGTGTCTCTACTTTAAAGAGTCCTCTCCTGCTGATGTTCAGGTGTATATCAGTATGTAGTGTCTCTACTTTAAAGAGTCCTCTCCTGCTGATGTTCAGGTGTATATCAGTATGTAGTGTCTCTACTTTAAAGAGTCCTCTCCTGCTGATGTTCAGGTGTATATCAGTATGTAGTGTCTCTACTTTAAAGAGTCCTCTCCTGCTGATGTTCAGGTGTATATCAGTATGTAGTGTCTCTACTTTAAAGAGTCCTCTCCTGCTGATGTTCAGGTGTATATCAGTATGTAGTGTCTCTACTTTAAAGAGTCCTCTCCTGCTGATGTTCAGGTGTATATCAGTATGTAGTGTCTCTACTTTAAAGAGTCCTCTCCTGCTGATGTTCAGGTGTATATCAGTATGTAGTGTCTCTACTTTAAAGAGTCCTCTCCTGCTGATGTTCAGGTGTATATCAGTATGTAGTGTCTCTACTTTAAAGAGTCCTCTCCTGCTGATGTTCAGGTGTATATCAGTATGTAGTGTCTCTACTTTAAAGAGTCCTCTCCTGCTGATGTTCAGGTGTATATCAGTATGTAGTGTCTCTACTTTAAAGAGTCCTCTCCTGCTGATGTTCAGGTGTATATCAGTATGTAGTGTCTCTACTTTAAAGAGTCCTCTCCTGCTGATGTTCAGGTGTATATCAGTATGTAGTGTCTCTACTTTAAAGAGTCCTCTCCTGCTGATGTTCAGGTGTATATCAGTATGTAGTGTCTCTACTTTAAAGAGTCCTCTCCTGCTGATGTTCAGGTGTATATCAGTATGTAGTGTCTCTACTTTAAAGAGTCCTCTCCTGCTGATGTTCAGGTGTATATCAGTATGTAGTGTCTCTACTTTAAAGAGTCCTCTCCTGCTGATGTTCAGGTGTATATCAGTATGTAGTGTCTCTACTTTAAAGAGTCCTCTCCTGCTGATGTTCAGGTGTATATCAGTATGTAGTGTCTCTACTTTAAAGAGTCCTCTCCTGCTGATGTTCAGGTGTATATCAGTATGTAGTGTCTCTACTTTAAAGAGTCCTCTCCTGCTGATGTTCAGGTGTATATCAGTATGTAGTGTCTCTACTTTAAAGAGTCCTCTCCTGCTGATGTTCAGGTGTATATCAGTATGTAGTGTCTCTACTTTAAAGAGTCCTCTCCTGCTGATGTTCAGGTGTATATCAGTATGTAGTGTCCCGGCTCTGTTGTGATTGGTCAACCGCTTAGATATGTCCCGCCCCTTTAGTCTATCACGTACAATGTGTTGGAGCGCTAGCCAATAGAAATGCGATTGTTCTATTTTAGCCTTTGCACACTAACCAATATAACACACTACAGGGAGAACCCCAAAAGCAGAATATGATGATAAAGATAATCCAGTATATTGATGATGTTACCTGATGGTTTTGATCATGCTGAGGCCCATCTCCACGCAGCAGTGAGCGTGGTCCTGTCTGGGCTCCGGCAGACCCGACACACAGTAGTAACAATCGCCCAGAATCTTTATCCTCAGACAGTGGTTCTCCTGCAACACACACACACACACACACACACACACACAAACACACACACACACACACAACACACACACACACACAACACACACACACACACACACACACACACACACACACACACACACACACACCACACACACACACACACACACACACACACACACACACACACACACACACACACACACGTCTTTCAGTAAATGCATCAAAATAAGTATAAGCGTCCAAGTCCAAACATGTGTCCTTAAAGGAATGTATAAAATATGTCTTCTGATTTATCTAAAGATATTTACAGAAACATTTGTATTTTTTTTTTATGGAAGTAGAGTACTACACACGAAACACAACATGAAGTACAGTCGATTGAGTAACCTTAAGACAGAAGAACATGCGTCATTAAGGTAAAAGTATTTCAGAGTTTAAAGGGGACCTATCATGCAAGATGCACTTTTGTACGTCTTGTATACATGAATATGTGTCCCCGGTGTTCCAGGGAACTCACCAAGTGTCAGAAAACACAACCCTCTCTATTTTCCTCCATACCCAAATCTCTAAAAAAGGGGCTGCAACGGATCTGATAAAAACTGATCCAGATTTGAACACTGTCCTGACGTCAGGACGGTGGCGCTACGGCTATTGGGCCAACTCCACCAATCAGGAGGAGACAGCCACGGCCATTGCCGTTCCAAAGCGCTGGAGACGCTGTAGTACATATGCCAGGCCTGTAGATGGTGCTGTTCTCACAGAATCAGCCCTTGCTAAAACAGGGGTAACATTTTTCAAATTGAGCGAAATGAGGCATGGCTAAAATGCATGATCTGTTTGGTATTTTGAAAAAAAAAAAGTATAAATATGCCTTATATAGGTATGGTCCTACACTATATTATTCAAATATAGCATGATAGGTCCACTTTAAGTGAAGACATGATTTTGACATTTGACAATTTGTCATTTTGAGTGTCATCTGTCTTTTGATTAAAAAATCAAGTCCACTCATATGTCAATAAAGGAAAATATAGTGTAGTTTTTTTGTAGTGCATGTGGTCTTTTGGGGTTTCCTCCTTACTTGCCTGCTAAACATCCTCAAATCTTTCAATAACTTCACCTAATGATACCTTGAAAAATACTACAATACAATTCAAAATATAGAAAGTAAAAGGTCTGAAATAACACCTAGATTTCAAATGATTGGTAAACAAGATTGAGTGCACCGCCTCTATCTTCTATGTAATGGAAAATATAAATATATAGGCTTATAAAACGCAATTAAACAACGTGAAAACACTTTCTGTCGAGTCGGTTTCTGTGAAATGCTGCCTGGTGAAGCGCGGCTGGATCTGATATGAGACACAGCGCTGGATCAGTTATTCCCTCTGTTGTTCTGAATGAAATATTCATGCGGCTAATGGAGTTTCTTTATTTAGCTTCACTGAAGAGAGATCAACTCCCAAGAAACGACAGTGGAAAGCAAATGTCATGTTTAATTGTGATCCGATCCTGTCTTTTCTCAATGTGAAACACATGTTGAATCTTATATTTAAAATCTGAGATATAAAAGGTGCAGTGGAAGAACAGATCCAATTTTTTTTACTTTATAGTCTCTAAGTTTGGGCCGGAAAAGGATTATTATTTCCTTGAAAATGCAGAAAGTCCTCATTGCATTTCCGTTTTAAAATCTACTTTGCACTCTTGTATAAAGTATGTATATAGTATCCTATGTTTATCTTTCTTAAGTAGTAGTTTATCAGAAAGCTTTCAGATCAGAACATGCTCATTGAAGGCATCTTGACTTGGACATATTGGTACCAAATATAGCACCATATGCTCCGACTTAAATCAGACAATGGATCTAAACTGACCACAACTGCTCTGTGTGATAGTGTGAGTGTTTGATGCTGAAAAGTGACAAGACAAACATAGAGCATTTAAAGAAAAAACACTCTTTCATGCATTTAGTGAAATCTCTTACGTGTGCGAGGCGGTCGAAGCGTGCAAAGAGTTCGTTCAACATTCGCACCAGCTCCTGCGCCGACAGCGTCGTGGAGAGGTTAGTGAAGCCTTTGACATCTGCGAAAAGAATGCTGAATAAAATATGGAAATGTCACTTCAATATCCAGTTCTTCACCATCCAAACACTTCATAATAACATGGAATGATATATAATAATGTATCTGAAACAACAGTGTTTTCACATTAATATCTGACACAAAGAGATGAGGATCAGTTAGCTTCTAGAACCTGTAGGATGCTAACTAGCATACGTTGGGAAAATTGCCTGATTGGCATACACTGTTTTAATTGGCATTCATTTGCTTTATATCCTGTATAGACAGTATTTCAACGATAGAGCGGTGCAGGAATGTCATTTTTCTGTAGTGGACCCTGAAGGTAGCACCTCCCAGTAAAAGCTAACGTTAGGCTATAAAGGAACTACAGCACGGTCACATGACTTCACGTCACCACCGCTAAGCTAAAGGAGGCTAATGTTGGGCTATAAAGGAACTACAGCACGGTCACATGACTTCACGTCACCACCGCTAAGCTAAAGGCTGGCTAATGTTGGGCTATAAAGGAACTACAGCACGGTCACATGACTTCACGTCACCACCGCTAAGCTAAAGGCGGCTAATGTTGGGCTATAAAGGAACTACAGCACGGTCACATGACTTCACGTCACCACCGCTAAGCTAAAGGCGGCTAATGTTGGGCTATAAAGGAACTACAGCACGGTCACATGACTTCACGTCACCACCGCTAAGCTAAAGGAGGCTAATGTTGGGCTATAAAGGAACTACAGCACGGTCACATGACTTCACGTCACCACTGCTAAGCTAAAGGCGGCTAATGTTGGGCGTGATGACGTTAAGTTGTCTCATTTAGACACTTGTTAGCAACCTCAGTTTTTAAATTCTCCAGTTACACAGGTATTTTTTAAAAGCAATTTTTCCTAACTTTATCGAAAAACCCTGTCCACACACATACACGTTAAATGAATAAACTACACTCATGTCCTCACCTGACATTCTCGTAGCGGTGGATGTAGATTCTGTGGAACTGATGCTGGAGGTGTTCGTCGTCTACATTTGTCATGTCGTTGATCATTTCCAAAACTACAAAACGAGGCAGGACTGATAACACCAGTCTCTCCTGCGGGGGAAGAAAAACATCTTATTAGTTCTCAGAAACACAACAGCCAAATAATAATTACATATTTGGATAAAATGAGATGAGAGCCATGCTGGTTTACTCTTCTTCTCTTAGGATACAAATAAGTGACCTTTCTTAACATATCATCTTGTTTAACAATGTTATTATATATGTTTTCTAGACTGAGCATCAATCCTTCCATGACGGAGATACTGATTAATTGTTCAATTGATAAAGAAACACAATTTTTTTAGGGCTCCGTAAGCATTATGTACAGTAATGGAGAAATAAAAATGTCACGTTTGAGATTTCCTGCTGCAACTTTGATTATTTAAAGTGGACCTATCATGCTATATTTGAATAATATAGTGTAGGACCATACCTATATAAGGCATATTTATACATTTTTTTTTTCAAAATACCAAACAGATCATGCATTTTAGCCATGCCCCATTTCGCTCAATTTGACATTTTTTAGATCTGTTTTAGCAAGGGCTGATTCTGTGAGAACAGCACCACCTAGAGGCCTGGCATATGTACTACAGCGTCTCCAGCGCTTTCGAACGGCAATGGCCGTGGCTGTCTCGCCGGGGACACATATTCATGTATAAAAGACGTACAAAAGTGCATTTTGCATGATAGGTCCCCTTTAAGCTTTAACACGTAATGTATTTACATCTCACCAGAGATTAATGTACTACGGTGAATAACACAGCATCAAGATTAAGCAAAGAGGAATTAACTGAAGTCAGAGAGTTGGTATTAAACTGGCAAACACGAGGAGCAGCATCTTGTAAAAACAAGTTACATAAAGTCCGTCTGTAAGGAATGATTTAAGAGATGACTGTGTCTCTGCCAGGCTAAGCTCCTGCAGCAGGAGGATCCTCAGGAAAAATAAATATCTCTGAGCTTTACGTCTCGACGCGCTGCCACCTGGCAAACAAACAGATTTGGAGTGGGAGCCATCGCTCAGTTTCTGTTTCAACCAACACACAACTTTCTCTACGCAGAAATGTCAGAACACAACCAACAAAGGTTAAAAAAAACAGATGGACTTTGGGGCTTCACATATTTAATAACTGCAAATAAACTCTGATGAATTCACATTAGGGCTGTGCGATTATGGCAAAAATCATAATCACGATTATTTGGGTCAATAATTGATATCACGATTATTAAATACGATTATTCATTGACTTTGAAAAAATCCATTTATTGAACTTTAAAACAAATACAAATAATAATTTGAACAGTATCTTTTTAACTGTTGATTACCCTGAACGTATAATTCAACTGAAAAACCAATACAAAAATAAATTAAATAAATTATACATTTAAATAAATAATATCAAAATAATAAATACCAATAAACAAGATCAACAAATATTTTGGAGCGCACTTCCACAAGCTACTAAACATATATAAATATGATAAATACAAATAAATGAGACCAAAATTAATTAGATCAAATATGTTGCACTGTCACAACCTAGCAAAGCTAAATAATTGTTTTTTTCGATTATGTTGTTTTCGTAATTGTGGCAGGCCAAAATCGTAATTGCGATTAAAATACGATTAATTGCACAGCCCTAATTCACATTGTGTTAAATGATTTTAATTAACAAGTGTTGCATCAATCAAACACTGCAATTCGCTCTTATAAAAAAAAAAATCTAACTTTCAGTCAGGTGCAAAAGCTAAAACAAAACATTCCCATTAGTAGAAACACGCTGCAGCTTCAGAAACGATGCAGATATAAAAACACAAATGTTCCAAAACACATGAAAACATATATGTGTCTACTGTTGATGTGAAGAATACAATGAAAGTTATTTTCGGCCTTTCTGGCTCCTAATGCACTCTGTACGGTTTCCAGTCAAACATATATATTTCACCCTCCTGTGAACTCTGTGAAGCTCCAAGAGGCTCCATGAGATCTGAAGAGCCTCTTCAAACCTCCAGACCCGAAGAGAGAGAGAGTATCCTCTGCTCAGATCACTTTTTACAAAAAAAAAAAACTATCTTTCTTCATTATTGCACCAGTGAAGGAAAAAACAATCCAGTAATGCTGATTCACTTAACACACACAAGAGTAGGATAAGTTCTAAAACCCTGAAAGGAGGCAGCATCATAACCCTAACCCTAAGCCTAACACAAGCTGAAGAGATTTTTATTCTACGACATAAAATACCCCACTGGTGGATTTTAAAAACGGCGGTTCCTAACAAATCTGTCTGTGGCTCTGGACATTTGTCACATATTGAAATCTGAGAGAGATTTCACAGTGTGCATATGATTTAATCTGAAGAAATGTAAACGTTTTGTACTGCGAAAAAAAAAAAATATGTCAGTAAATACACCACTGGTGAATTTAAAATGTCTAAATGAGGCGACTAAACGTCATTACACCCAATATTAGCCGCCTTTAGCTTAGCGGTGGTGACGTGAAGTCATGTGACCGTGCTGTAGTTCCTTTATAGCCCAACATTAGCCACCTTTAGCTTAGCGGTGGTGACGTGAAGTCATGTGACCGTGCAGTAGTTCCTTTATAGCCCAACATTAGCCGCCTTTAGCTTAGCGGTGGTGACGTGAAGTCATGTGACCGTGCAGTAGTTCCTTTATAGCCCAACATTAGCCACCTTTAGCTTAGCTGTGGTGACGTGAAGTCATGTGACCGTGCAGTAGTTCCTTTATAGCCCAACATTAGCCACCTTTAGCTTAGCGGTGGTGACGTGAAGTCATGTGACCGTGCAGTAGTTCCTTTATAGCCCAACATTAGCCGCCTTTAGCTTAGCGGTGGTGACGTGAAGTCATGTGACCGTGCTGTAGTTCCTTTATAGCCCAACATTAGCCACCTTTAGCTTAGCGGTGGTGACGTGAAGTCATGTGACCGTGCAGTAGTTCCTTTATAGCCCAACATTAGCCGCCTTTAGCTTAGCGGTGGTGACGTGAAGTCATGTGACCGTGCTGTAGTTCCTTTATAGCCCAACATTAGCCTCCTTTAGCTTAGCGGTGACGACGTGAAGTCATGTGACCGTGCTGTAGTTCCTTTATAGCCCAACATTAGCCGCCTTTAGCTTAGCGGTGGTGACGTGAAGTCATGTGACCGTGCTGTAGTTCCTTTATAGCCCAACATTAGCCTCCTTTAGCTTAGCGGTGACGACGTGAAGTCATGTGACCGTGCTGTAGTTCCTTTATAGCCCAACATTAGCCTCCTTTAGCTTAGCGGTGACGACGTGAAGTCATGTGACCGTGCTGTAGTTCCTTTATAGCCCAACATTAGCCTCCTTTAGCTTAGCGGTGACGACGTGAAGTCATGTGACCGTGCTGTAGTTCCTTTATAGCCCAACATTAGCTTTTTACTTCATAAATTATAAAGTGGCGTTAATATGTGGAGATTATCCTGCTGAACAAAACGTTTGTTTGACACAGAGTTTATTTTCTGCAATAATCCAAAATCACATGGAGAAATCCCTGTGGCTTTTTGTGGATGGAACCAGGGAGATGCTGCCTTCAGGGTCCACTACAGGAATACGTCACCCCTCCATCACTCAGTGTAGTTGTGTAATGTGTAAACTGTGTTGGTTGAGCTGCTCTCGGTGCAGAAAGTGGAGCAGAGCATCCCCAAACTAAAGTCTAGACAGAAACTCAGCAGTGGAGCGTTGCTAATGCTTCCTCTGCTGCATCACAACCGAACGCTGCAGGGTGTGGAGGTGCAGATACACTGCAAGAAATGTGGATTTTACAGAGGGGCATCTTGGATTTACATTTAGAGTCTGACCCTCTCATTTTTTTATTTTTTTTTTGTCTTCGCTGCACCACCGCAAGTCAGCTGTCAGTCAAACTGCAACTGGTTTACATTTGTTTAATAACACCATTTGGATTTCAGTTTTAAAAGAAAGAAATTCCTCATGTAGCCTACAGTATATTTTGCTTAAAATAACTTCCAGGTAGAAACTTGTTTATACAGGTATACGGGATTTATTCTACTGTACAGTATTTCATTTTGCATTATGTCTTATCTCTCTGTCTTGTATTTCTCTTTTTCTTGAACAATTGTGTCTATTTCACTGTTGTACTTAAGTGTGTTGTATATTGCATAGTTGGAGGAAAGAAATCACATGAACTCACAATTATTTTCATTTCAGCTGTAAAAACACGTCAGCTTGGCTTTTCTCACATATTTTTGGTAAATAAATTAAAGCATTTAATGAATATTTAAAGAGTAAATAAATCTCATTTGACTACACTGTTGGTAAATCTAACTGCATCTCACGTCTGCACATGTTTTGCAGTGGGTACAGTGGGCGGTGTGTGTTTGCTTCACTGGGCACACACTCTGCTTTCGGTCAGATGAGAGCCAGGGGACTCAGTGTCAGATTAGCTTTGAAAGTCATTAGCGTAGCTTGAATTTAGCCGCGAGCTAAAGCCCTGCTGCAGCTCCCTGACAACTTCCATCTTCAACCGTCCCTCTGATGGGGTTAAAGGTTCAGTGGAAAACACTTTGTTCCTCCGTGATGCTTTTATTGTCGCTTGTGGGGGGGGGGGGGGTCTTCAGTTTAAATTCAGCTTTAAGGTCCAATTTAGAGTCGCCGCCTGAAGCTGATTTCCTATTCATAATCTGCGCTGAACCGTGAGAGCTTTCATCCAAAACAGTAAACATCAGTTTATTAAAAAGGGCTTAAAGTCGCATAACTGCTTCCAAAAATGATTCTATTATATCAGCATTTTGGGGCATTTAGAAAATACTCTCAGGGCTGCTGTTGGGAATTACACAACATAAAATCAGTCCTTATGGGAGAGGGAAAACATAATTGTTTACCTAAAGCATAATCTGTGGGTACATTAGAAAACCTTGAGCAATGAAAGTGAGGGGGGACAGGGTCTTTACAGTGGAAAGGATGTACTTTTGTTATTATATATTATATTACATCCAGTAGAAGATTGTGGATACCAGGCTAGATGACTGTTAGCTTGCTGTAGATATTCCCACCAGGGTTGGGCTTTAGAAAAAAATGCAAATAGGTTTGATAGTGAGCTAAAGACCAGACCGGTAAACTGAATTTGACAACTGATTAATGCACTCCTCTGTTTTTCGAGTTATAAACTAGCCTAATATTATATATGATATATATATATTGTAGGGCCATACCTATATAAGGTATATTTATACGTTTCTGTTTTCAAAATACCAAACAGATCATGCATTTCAGCCATGCCTCATTTCGCTCTATTTGCTGTTCTCCAGCCCTGTTTTTGCAGGGGCTGATTCTGTGAGCTGCAGCTGACCACGCCCCCCTGCAGGAGAGGGGAGCCGTGCTCTGATCAAGTCAGAAGAGGGGGAGAAAAATAGATCTCCGTCCTCCGTGTTTTATTATATAGAGTCGTTATTAATTTGTTTTAAAGCTCAATAAATAACAAAGAAGACCTTTGACCGGCACTTTTCTAATTTTGTCCGGAAGATTTAAACTTTAACGGACATCTTGACCGGTGAAAGAAACTGAAACTGAAACTCTGCCGCACGGTCCCCTCGTTCCTTGGAAGAGGAGGAGAGGTGGGTGTTTGTCATCTGCTGGTGGACTAACCGGAGAGAATTACAGTGCTTGCCTCGACGGGGAGGGATTGCATTGAATTAAAGCAGCGGGAGCAAACGCTTGCCTCGGGGAGGGAGAAAGAAAGCCACAACGGAGAATAAACAGAAGGGTAACCATGGTAACTATGGGCGGGAAGTCTTCTTCGCTGCTTTTGTGGCAGACTACAGCGCCACTTACAGGCCTGGCATATGTACTACAGCGTCTCCAGCGCTTTCGAACGGCAATGGCCGTGGCTGTCTCCTCCTGATTGGTGGAGTTGGCCCAATAGCCGTAGCGCCACCGTCCTGACGTCAGGACAGTGTTCAAATCTGGATCAGTTTTTATCAGATCCGTTGCAGCCCCTTTTTTAGAGATTTGGGTATGGAGGAAAATAGAGAGGGTTGTGTTTTCTGACACTTGGTGAGTTCCCTGGAACACCGGGGACACATATTCATGTAGAAAAGACGTACAAAAGTGCATTTTGCATGATTGGTCCCCTTTAAGTCAATCTATCATATCGCTTAATACTAAGGCATTACACATTTTAAAGGTTGACGCTGTAGAGAGCGCTGTGCTGCGTTGTTAGCGCTGTGTTGTTTTAAACATTTTAAACAAATGATCTTAATGCAATGTGGTGGGGACAAAATTATTTCTGTTTAAAGGTCCCATGTCATGCTTTTCCAGTTATTACCCGTCCCCTTGTCCCCACATGTGTTATGTAGCTTTTTCTGCATGTAAACAGTCTGCAGAGTCACAAACCCTCAAAGTACACCCTGTAGCGAGTAAAACTCTAACACAGGAAAGACCTGTCTCTGCTGCCCCAGAACGCCTCGTTGGACATTTTTCTTTTTCCATTTTTTGGACCACGGATTGGTCCAAATGAACCAATCCGTGGAGCTCCTCACACACACACACTCTCTCAGCGGCGAAACTGTGACGCGCTGGGGGGGGTGTGCTAGTGGAGCCTCGCAGCGGCGAAACTGTGGTGCGCTTACACTGTAGGTGCGCCGCATTTGGGGGTGCGGGTGGAGCCTCGCAGATGGGGGTGCTGCAGCCCCCTCAGCACCCCCTCCTTCCCGCGTCCATGGTGCTCAGGCTGAGTTCAGGTGAGTTTCTCGGTGTCTCGCAGACCCCACGCAGCAACCAGGAAATGACACCAGTAACCCAGCTCACACTGTCCGCTCCTCGGAGCAGCGAGCCCCGCAACGTCCTGCCAACACGGCACCCAGACCCCACGCAGCATTCTCATCTGCTTGTCATTACTGGTCTCATTTTCTGGTTGCTAACAAACGCCATTGTAACACATAATCACTGATGTTCCGCTGTAACGGTGGTAGACTCATCAGAACAGAGTGGGCGAGCTGACCAATCAGAGCACAGTGGGCTCACAGGGAGGGGGGGGGGGGGGCAGGAGCTCCAACAAGCCGTGTAGGACAGAGAGTGAATACACATACTATACAGAGAGAAACCAATGTGAGTTTGGAACATCGAACAATGTAAATCTATTCTAGTAGACCTCAACAATGGAATTATGATCAGTAGAAATGGCCATGTCATGGGACCTTTAATACTTGTATTACCAGTTTATCTATTTGCCCATAAAATAAATGGTAAACAGGTTTCAAGTTTTTACACTCGGTCTATTGCTAGGGAGGAATATTCTCATCAGCTGCACACAGATCTGATGTGGCCTAACCTTCCTCACAATAATATATGATACACAAATGTCAGATTTACATGTAGTACTTTCTGACTGGAGAAAAGCCACCTGCTCCTCGTATAGAGAGACGGAAACAAAGGTGATTTATCTGGATGTGAACCTGACCTCTGTATCACATCACAGTCACTCTTTAAGGAAACACACACACAGTGTGGCCTTATGACAGAAACATGGCTCTGTGTTCTTACAGCATGTTGACAGAAATGGAAGGCAATGATTGGTTCACATCAAGACATCTCGGTCCATTACAGCTCAGAGCCAAAAACCTTCCTGGAAACACGACAGCGTAAAAGCTTTCTGTGGCGTCTCAGAGCCCGGCCGTCCACTCCACTGCGTAAACAAAGCTCTCTGTCGCTGTGTGTGTGTGTGTGTGTGTGTGTGTGTGTGTGTGTGTGTGTGTGTGTGTGTGTGTGTGTGTGTGTGTGTGTGGTGTGTGTGTGTGTGTGTGTGTGTGTGTGTGTGTGTGTGTGTGTGTGTGTGTGTGTGTGTGTGTGTGTGTGTGTGTGTTTACTTCTGTGCCCATCTGACTCAGACTATGTTGATTCTATTTCAGTATGTGTGTGTGTGTGTGTGTTTGGTAGCTTGTTAGGCAGTGTTTGCAGCAGTGTGTGTGTGTGTGCGTGTGTGCGTGCGTGTGTGTCCACCACACTGATGCCCAGTTAGCAGCGGATCGATGTAGCGTCCGTGTTCCTGTCCTCTCTGCGGGCTCATTAGCCGAGCTGCTAACAGTCAGTGCTGTCGACTGAAATCCATCAATCGCTCTGCTTTATTTATCAAAGTCTGTGCACACTGAGCGACATCACTCAACAACAGGAGGTTAAAGAAACACTGGCTGTCTTTACCATATCAAGTGTGTTGTTGTTTAGCGTGTTAGCATGCTTATTATTACATGCATTTATCCAAATAAACTTGCACTGCTCCTAGTGCTAGGATGGGTAAAAAGCAGAGAACAAATGTCACTGTGTGTGTGCTGTGTGCATGAACATGAGTGACCAATAAAGAGGGTTTCATCCTCCAATTCTCTCTACACTTCAATACCAGAAACATGCCTACAGGAGCAATTTGGGGTTTAGAATCAACCCAAGCACACTTCGACATGTTGACTGCATGGACTTGGGATATAACCACTGACCCTTCCAGTTGATTGACACCCATTTGCGTCATAGAAGAAAACAATAAAATATTTGCTAATCTACACGAACAAGGTCATTAGTTTTGGACAACATTTAGTTTTGAGATGCTTTAGTTTGGACAAAGCGGTTTGCACTTACGGTAGCCACAAACGTTCGTTAATCAGCATCAAACAAACGCTGAGTCATTTTCAGGGGTTGAGGACTCATTCCTCCATTGATTCCAGTCTATAAACTATGGCACACTTTGTCTCTGAATACAACAGTTACCACCCACAGTGTTGACCTTCTTTGAGCAGCATGAGGCAACACAAGTTTCTTTATAAAGCACCTTTCCACAAAATACTTTCCCGCATGAATCTTTGGCCTTAAAACATTGTTTGAGCATTATTGTGTGTTGTTGTCCTCACCTGTCTCTGGTTCTCTGTCTCCAGCCTCAGACGCGCCTCGATGCAGCGCCTCGTCTCCAGGAAGGCCTGACGCTGAGCCCGGTCCGACAGATAACTGATGAAGACCCCCGCTGTGTTCATACAGAGGAACAGTACCGCCTGAGCCGCCACCTGGAACACACACATACATATAGAGGGTGAGATATCACATACGATACGATCAGAGGTAGGAAGTAGTGGAGTACAAATACTTTGTTACTGTACTTAAGTACATTTTTCTGGTATCAGTACTTTACTCCACTACTACTTCTTACATGTTGAACCCAAATACCTGTACTTTCTACTTCTTACATGTTGAACACAAATACCTGTACTTTCTACTTCTTACATGTTGAACACAAATACCTGTACTTTCTACTTCTTACATGTTGAACACAAATACCTGTACTTTCTACTTCTTACATGTTGAACACAAATACCTGTACTTTCTACTTCTTACATGTTGAACATGTTCTTACATTTTCACTACTGGAACAAATACTGTACTTCTACTTCTTACATGTTGAACACAAATACCTGTACTTTCTACTTCTTACATGTTGAACACAAATACCTGTACTTTCTACTTCTTACATGTTGAACACAAATACCGTACTTTCTACTTCTTACATGTTGAACACAAATACCTGTACTTTCTACTTCTTACATGTTGAACACAAATACCTGTACTTTCTACTTCTTACATGTTGAACACAAATACCTGTACTTTCTACTTCTTACATGTTGAACACCAAATACCTGTACTTTCTACTTCTTACATGTTGAACCCAATACCTGTACTTTCTACTTCTTACATGTTGAACACAAATACCTGTACTTTCTACTTCTTACATGTTGAACACAAATACCTGTACTTTCTACTTCTTACATGTTGAACACAAATACCTGTACTTTCTACTTCTCACATGTTGAACACAAATACCTGTACTTTCTACTTCTTACATGTTGAACACAAATACCTGTACTTTCTACTTCTTACATGTTGAACACAAATACCTGTACTTTCTACTTCTTACATGTTGAACACAAATACCTGTACTTTCTACTTCTTACATGTTGAACACAAATACCTGTACTTTCTACTTCTTACATGTTGAACACAAATACCTGTACTTTCTACTTCTTACATGTTGAACACAAATACCTGTACTTTCTACTTCTTACATGTTGAACACAAATACCTGTACTTTCTACTTCTTACATGTTGAACACAAATACCTGTACTTTCTACTTCTTACATGTTGAACACAAATACCTGTACTTTCTACTTCTTACATGTTGAACACAAATACCTGTACTTTCTACTTCTTACATGTTGAACACAAATACCTGTACTTTCTACTTCTTACATTTTGAACACAAATACTTGTACTTTCTACTTCTTACATGTTGAACACAAATACCTGTACTTTCTACTTCTTACATTTTGAACACAAATACCTGTACTTTCTACTTCTTACATGTTGAACACAAATACCTTGTACTTTCTACTTCTTACATGTTGAACACAAATACCTGTACTTTCTACTTCTTACATTTTGAACACAAATACCTGTACTTTCTACTTCTTACATGTTGAACACAATACCTGTACTTTCTACTTCTTACATGTTGAACACAAATACCTGTACTTTCTACTTCTTACATGTTGAACACAAATACCTGTACTTTCTACTTCTTACATGTTGAACACAAATACCTGTACTTTCTACTTCTACATGTTGAACACAAATACCTGTACTTTCTACTTCTTACATGGTTGAACACAAATACCTGTACTTTCTACTTCTTACATGTTGAAACACAAAATACCTGTACTTTCTACTTCTTACATGTTTAAACACAAATACCTGTACTTTCTACTTCTTACATGTTGAACACAAATACCTGTACTTTCTACTTCTTACATGTTGAACACAAATACCTGTACTTTCTACTTCTTACATGTTGAACACAAATACCTGTACTTTCTACTTCTTACATGTTGAACACAAATACCTGTACTTACATTTGAACACAAATACTGTACTTTTACTTCTTACATGTTGAACAACAAATACCTGTACTTTCTACTTCTTACATGTTGAACACAAATACCTGTACTTTCTACTTCTTACATTTTGAACACAAATACCTGTACTTTCTAACTTCTTACATTTTGAACACAAATACCTGTACTTTCTACTTCTTACATTTTGAACACAAATACCTGTACTTTCTACTTCTTTACATTTTGAACACAAATACCTGTCTTTCTACTTCTTACATGTGAACACAAATACCTGTACTTTCTACTTCTTACATGTTTGAACACAATACCTGTAGCTTTCTACTTCTTACATGTTGAACACAAATACCTGTACTTTCTAATTCTTACATGTTTGAACACAAATACCTGTACTTTCTAATTCTTACATGTTGAAACACCAATACCTGTACTTTCTACTTCTTACATGTTTGAACACAAATACCTGTACTTTCTACTTCTTACATGTTGAACACAAATACCTGTACTTTCTACTTCTTACCATGTTGAACACAAATACCTGTACTTCTACTTCTTACATGTTGAACACAAATACTGTACTTTCTACTTCTTACATGTTGAACACAAATACCTGTACTTTCTACTTCTTACATGTTGAACACAAATACCTGTACTTTCTAATTCTTACATGTTGAACTCAAATACCTGTACTTTCTACTTCTTACATGTTGAACACAAATACCTGTACTTTCTACTTCTTACATGTTGAACACAAATACCTGTACTTTCTACTTCTTACATGTTGAACACAAATACCTGTACTTTCTACTTCTTACATTTCCCAAACAGGGTTTGTTTGTGCTAAATTGTCACTCCTAGATAGCCTAGTGTTATAAGACAATTAAAATGTGCTTTTTTATGTGCAATACAATTCTGCTTCAATACGAATGAATTATTTTGTCATCTGCAGCTCAGAAAGTGCCTTGTTGTCCGGGTTTAAACGGCACTATGTTGGATTGTTTTTGTATATTTGGGATAGCTGTCAGTTGAGAGATGACTGGAAATGGAGGGTCAGGAAATTGAGAAAGGACAAGCTGTATTTGAGTCAAACTCCACACTTCTCAATACTGCAGTTAACCAAAAAAACACACCTTTAAATCCCTTGTACTTCAACAATCACTCCTTTATAACCGTTTGCATACCGGTTTTTGTTAGGAGGTTAAACAGGTCGTAATTGCTGACATAATCTCAGTCCAACATTTGCATTAAATACAATTTTCAGGCTAGTTCCAGTTAATAGATGCGTATTATGCACATTTAGCTTCAGACATCAGATATAATATGTCCTGAAACTAACCTTAATCTTAAAAATGATGTCTGTGTGCACATTTCAAAGAGATATAACCCAAATGGTGTCAATGGGATCAGTCTAGCAATAAAACATGTGTTTATTATACTATTAAATCAAGTCTCTCGGGTGTGGGTTTGTGTTTACACTTACTCAAGTTCGTAAGAGTTTAAACACACACACACACACACACACACACACACACACACACACACACACACACACACACTGATGTAGAGTAGCACTACAGTGGGAAAACTCCACAGCTGAATATTTTATAAATAGGGCGTCTATTTCCACGATCTCATGACTTAGCGCTTCATTACTTTACGATGTATAGACTCCTTTTAAATAATACACCCTCCTCAGGCTCTGTGTCACGATGACTCTGATGAAGGTCTTGTAGTAATGTCAGCGTTAGACAACAGTATGCATTTCCATCTGCATAGAGAACCCTCTGTTTGGTGTGTTTGCACACAGACGGATGATTTGTTGAACAGCGTCACATGGTACGTTAAACATGTACCGACTGACCCCGAGACATCACGGGCAGAGGTGGGAAGTAACTAAGTACATTTACTCAAGTACAATTTTGAGGTACTTGTACTTTGCTTGAGTATTTACATGTTATGCTATTGGTACTTCTACTCCACTACAGTTCAGAGGTAAACGGTGTACTTTTCCTCCACTACATGTATTTAATACCTTTAGTTACTTCACAGATGTGGATGAATGATGTGAAATATAATCAAGTGTTAAATCAGACTTTAGTTCCACCTGGAGTAAATCCACAAGCTACCCTGCAGTATACAAAGTCATTCAAACTAGCTGCACCTTTACCAGCTTTGAGAACACTTTCATGATCAATCATTATAAAACATATCATATATATTATTCTGAAATGGACCAATCTGCACAATGACTACTTTTACTGTCGCTACTTTCACTATATTTTGATGATAATACTTTTCTACTTTCACTTGAGGAACATTTTGAATGCAGGACTTTCACTGAAACAGAGTATTCCTACACTCTGGTACTTCTACTTTTACTAAGTACAAGACCTGAGTACTTCTACTTTTACTCAAGTACAAGATCTGAGTACTTCTACTTTTACTCAAGTACAAGACCTGAGTACTTCTACTTTTACTCAAGTACAAGACCTGAGTACTTCTACTTTTACTCAAGTACAAGATCTGAGTACTTCTACTTTTACTCAAGTACAAGATCTGAGTACTTCTACTTTTACTCAAGTACAAGATCTGAGTACTTCTACTTTTACTCAAGTACAATATCTGAGTACTTCTACTTTTACTCAAGTACAAGACCTGAGTACTTCTACTTTTACTCAAGTACAAGACCTGAGTACTTCTACTTTTACTCAAGTACAAGATCTGAGTACTTCTCCCACCTCTGATCACGGGTTATTGTGTACTTCACTCAGTGTCAAATGTTTAATAAATCATAGCAATGGTACTTTATACGCTGAAACACTTGACTCCTGTAATATTAACAATGATTGTCTTATCTGCCGTAAAACAACACACACACAAAGTGACTCAACATGGCCGCCCTCCCTTGGACTCTTTGACAGACGACAGAAGGTTTTTCCTCAGCAGTGATCCTGTAACGTGTTGAGCAGTCAGGCGTGTTTAAGAGAGGAAAGCCTGGCTGATGTAACGCTCTGCAACAGAAACATCACGGGGGATTTCTCCACCTCCACCCACCAGGCTTCCTCCTGCGGATTCACATGATGCAAGTGTTTCAAGCGTTCAA